GTAATGTCTGTTGAGAAAGGAAGTGGAGCCGCCATATGGGATCTGCAATGGACATGTTTGAAGTAATCTTTACCATTAGTGGTCTTATATCTAGTTCCTGTAAAATTGAAGTGCTTGCGGTTTGTGATTGGAGTGAAAGGCTTTCGCTCTATCAGCTTACAGGTAAACAGGTGAGTTATCGACGCTACCAAAGTTAAGTCCCTTCGTCACATTGTTTTTGCGAGTCCGAGTGTTTTTGAATCGGATTATCTGCGGGATTATCGAATACGATCACTGCAGTTATTTCTATGTGAACCGAATGAACGGTTTGCATGTTGCAACAACGGTATTGAAAAGCAAGTACGATGGTATAAACGAAAAAACGTAGCGTAAAGAAAACTGAGTACTTCGATGTTTGTACGATTTTTGACATTGTTTCGTCAACACCCTCTGATTTCTTCTTCTGATTTGACAAACTCAAAACAAAAGTAGCTTTGATGGTTAATATGCAGGAACTTTATGCTTGATGATGCAGTTTCTTATTTTGTTCAATTCCTTAATTCTCTTTCCAAGGTGATGCATTCAAATGGTTCCATGATGAACAGGCTCACTATTACACAAAAAGTATTGCTTAATATTTCTGCTAATCAATTCGCAAACCTTGTTTTCTTCAATATAGTCAGTTAAGGGCCCAGTTGGCATCAAGGTGAGCCCATAAGTACCTGAGCATTCCAATTTTATAAAATATTAGTGTGGAAAAGATCGCTATCTTGGATTTGTTCCGATGTGTATGGACTGGATTGGAGACTCCTCTGAGTATTTGGTCATTGGTGGCCAAAATCGAACAATAAGTCTGTATAGTTATGAGGGTTGTCAACTTAAACCCCTCGTTGAGGAGAGCTCCTGGATTTTGAGCACTGCCAAGCATCCAAGAGATAAATGCTTGGTGAGTAAATGGAGAACTTCCGTTCATACCTTCTTTGCTCAATTACACAATATCGAAATGCGATCTACAAATGTGTTTCATTTGCTTTGTAGGTGATTGGTTGTCAAGATGGAACTATAAGAAGTTTGAGATACTCTTTGCCCATTGTTCATAGTTTCTTTCGCGATCGATATGCCTTCAGAGAAATGTTAACGGATGTGGTTATCCAGCATTTATTAACAGAACAAAGAGGTAGGCTTTTAATGTTTGACATAAGATGCCTAGCTCGCATAAAATGTCGCGATGTTGTGAAAAAAGTTGCGATTTATAGAAACCGACTGGCAGTGAGTTGTATGTCTGTGCCATGCATTACTAGTTAAGATACAGCTCTCAGACCGTATCCTCATTTACGAATCGGCGGTCGAGGACTCTCTCGACATGCACTACCGGATACAAGAAAAAGTCATATTAAACTTTGACTGCCAATTCCTGATACTAACGTCTCGACATATTGTATACTGTCAAGGGCGCCAAATAACATGCATAAGCTCACAGGTAACGAAACAACGTCGGTTTTGATGCAGATAGTAATTACGAAACTACATCTTGTTTCCTTGTTAACATTTGAAGCTATTGTTGCTGTGACCCATCTCACTGACAGCATTCCTGAAAAGTGTTTACATCACTTAGGTAGGATGTCTTCTTGGGATATGTAATTTTATCACCGATGAGCAAAAAATGGCTTCAAACGATGCTTTATGTTCTTATGTAAAACACCCAATATAGTGTATATTATTTTTTTGCGAAGTGCATGAGGTGGTAAGTTCGTATGGAGCCTAAGCCGAGTATCAGAGATTATCGTACTCGGAATTGTCTTCGACACGGTTACAACTATTCGCAATTGATGATGCGGTTGCGGTACCAAATACCGACTACTCATTTTGGCTTACTTGCATTAAAATAAGCTTAAGCGTTACGCCTGCTGTCGTAATATTTTTTTCGTTCGGCATCCTAGGGCGATATTGCGGTCAAGTTATCCATAAAACTGGCAGAGCGAGCTTGTATCGTAGTCATAGCAGCAATAAGTATAGTTTTAAATGAATTATGCTGGTAATGTAGGGAGTGCTTGTGGCTTGTGGTGCCATTATGTGCTGCACGGAATAGGTAAGACCATGCGTCGAAATACTGAGCTCATTAGATTGTATTAAGCTCAAAGCAATCACGTCTTTTGATTGAAGCCCAATCGGCTCTCTAAAGGATCATGCTTTGCTGCGTCAATAACTGCAGATCGCAGTTTCTGAAAAGGCATTTTTACACTAGGTCTAGTGAGCTCGCTTTCATAACTGCTAATTTAATTCATGTAACATCCGCCTATCTCCCTCAGGGTAAAGTAGAGCAAGAGTGGTGCGTCGAGTCGCCTGTTCAGTGTATTCACCAACAGATCGGGCTTGCAGAAGATGAAGGCTTGATTCTTGGAATGTCGAATGGACAGATGAGTTTTGCTGCCTTCTTAAAATAGCAAAGGCTTTACTAAGAACCCAGTAGATTTGGAGACTAATGGAATTGTAATATTGATTGCAAAGCACTTTTATATCGAAATTCCGTTTCAAAAAACCAGTTTGATGTTCAGCAATCGATGCTACTGGTTAATAGCGTAGCATCGGTTAACTTGCATTTGTATGCGTTAATTTGGCAATTTGAATTCTGCTATTTTGCTTATTTGTCAATGTTGTAGTCGAGCGAAATGGTTGAGACAGTGATATAAGGACTGATTTAAAATTGAATTGCCGTTTTGGATAGCCTGTGGTGACAGCATTACAGATCAAGCTTCTCCGTACCACTAAGTTCAAAAAGCCATAAAATAAGTCTGAGAATGTGTGCTGAATCCAACTCTTTGGTTGTTTATAGATAGCCAAGGTAACTTTGAGTAGCTTGTTCACCGTGCCTTTGATTAACGTTGCCACTGCGATCATCTGCGTTGGTGTGAGCGCTGATTGTGACAAAATTGCAACAATTGATGGGAGTAGCACGTTTACAATGCGCTCGTTAATAACAAATGAAATTCACTTGATGGTAAGGCTGGCCTCGCCTAGTGTTGTGGTGAAAGTAGCAAAATTAAAGCGATTATTTTGGTATTGAAGGACATATTTTCAAAAAATTCTAATTTGGGCATAAGACGGCACTAAGTAAGCTACAAAACATGCATACTTCCGATTTCTTGAAGGTGGACGGTTAAATATTTGTAGGATTTTGCCCTAACTCCCGTTCTCTACCGTCTCGGAGCATTCCTCCTCGCTTCTTTGGGAAATTTCATTTGTGATGCTTTCCCAGTAGTTTTTAATATTCACAATACCGGAGTAGAATTAAATTTTTCGCTGCTAAATTTCGTCTGCCAACCATTTCCCTAAAATATCGCAATTTAGGGCGAATTCACAAGCAGATGGGGACCTTCAGTGACAGATTACAGTTTTGTAACAGACATTAAATAAAAGTATCATTGTCAGATGATGAATGGGCCCACGTCTGATGCCTTCGTAATGGTTTCCTTATTTGTTCGAATAAATTTACCCATATTTTATTCCCTATCCATTCAGTGCGCATAACTAAGTACTTGATTTAGCTGAGGTCTTTCAAGGCAAACTAGTGGTTTTTCTATTCCTCCTTAAGGAATCCGGCGTACTGAATTTTGCTTGGAATCAGATCAACAACAACCTTCTCTGCTACTGTAGTAATGATACTTTGTTCGTGGTCGTTGATGATTACGTGTTCCATCAACAACCTCTGGAAGTAAGTTAAGCATTTTTATTAAAATATTGAATGATCGAATAATTCTCAAGTGTGCTTTCGTATGAAATGTTGCATTTGATTTTGCACAGGGTATCGTGATAAGCTTTTATGGAGCCTCTGTCTACTGTATCTCTAAGCAAACAGTACGATGCGTAGAAGTACAATTATCTCAGGCAATGTACTACTACCTGAATGCAGGCCACTTGCGCGAGGCTCATCGCATTGCCTGCCTAGGCGTCGCAGAAAGTGATTGGCGAGAGCTTGGCAAAGCTGCTCTCCTCAGCATGGACTTTCAGGTGTCCATGTCTTCTGCTTGTTAAACTATTGACTGTTGCCCATTCTTTAAGGAAATTGTGGTTTTATACTGAGATAGGCGAGTCTATGAACTTAACCGCTATCACATCATAAGCTTGACTAGGTACTCAACGAAGTGTTCAATCCAAAGTCAAAACAAGTGCATTTAGTAGTGCAATGCCGATAGATCCTGTCATAAGTTGCGCTATGGCAACATCACACATCCCAAATTTTTCGTCATTTGTCGCAGTGCTCGCCACTCATGAAACAGTCCTTCCTTTGAAAAAAAACATCATATTTCATTGTGTCGTAAACATTGATTGTTTTAACTGTTTCTCATTTCAAATTCTAGAGTAGCCTTATTCATTGAACTTTGATAATTGTTATCCTATTATAGGTTGCACAGTCAGCATTTATTCAACTTGGGGATTACTTCTACTTGACCTATGTTCAACAGTTAAGCGTAAGTACTGCTACTTTTATCACTGATCACCTCTTATCTCCATCCATGGCAATGCAATTAAGTTATCAAGCTATTTCAAATCCTCGATAAACCCTACACTTTCGCAATTTTCTGTTAAGGAACGTCAACGTAGGGGTGCTGCTCAGGAGCCTGCTTCAGAGGTGACACCAACGGTGACACTTCTTATAGAAGCTGAACTGGCTTGCTTCCAAGGCAACTACAATGAAGCTGTGATGGCTTTCAAAAAGGCCAATCACCTAGATCGCATATTGTGTCTCTACATGGATTTGCGGAAATTCACCGAGGCCAAAGAGGCTCTGGCATTAGCAGCTGGAGACTGCAGAGCTTACTTTGATCAGCAGTCTAGAGATACCCCTCGCTTTCTGCTCACCAAGCACGCTGAATGGGCACGTACCATTAAAGACCATCGCACTGCTGCCCTCATGTTCATTGAAGCTGCAGACTTTGCTTCAGCTGTTGAGCTTGCAGCTGAACATGGATGGGTTGATGTGTATGTTCACTAATCGAATTTCCTAATCACATTACACCTTCATATGGACTTACATTGAACTCCCTTTTAATGATTTACCATTTTTTGGCATCTTTTCTTGCTTGTTATGGTAGTGTTATTCCTGAGTTTCATGACTGATACACTGATTTTAGCTTCTCTCCCTCACTACACGTTAATCACCAAAACCCACTGTTTTATCATGTTCTTTTGTAAAATAACATGTTTTTTTAAAGATTAAACTCCCAACATAGCTAAATTTCCATTAAGTTATTACATTTCCTAGGCTTTTGGAAATAAGTCGGAAAATTGATAAAGGTGATCGGATAAGTCTTGAGCTATGTGCAAAAAACTTGGCACACTTGGGAGAGTATGCTTTTGCAGCCGACTGCTATGCCCGAATGGGCGATATTGATAGTCAGGTTGACATCCTTATCAAAGCGGGTAAATGGGATGAAGTAAGTTTCTGTCTTTGCTCTTTAATCAACATGAGTCAGATAATGTTATTTGAAATTATCATGGGTCCAAATTCTGCCTTCTTGCTACTCATTATGCGTAAAATTGTGGCTAACCTATTACTCTGTCTCTTGATTCAGTTGTTATCTCTGGTTCAAGAACATCCAGACTTCACACGTAAAGCGTACCTACCATACGCTCAGTGGTTGGCTGAAAATGACAGTTTTGAGGAAGCTCAAGCCGGTATTGCTTTATCTTTACGGGAAAAAGCACAAGCAACCCTTACTTTGTGTTACATTATGCATAGTTTCGAGTTCTTGTGCTGCTTTTAGAACTCAACCTTTGTTCTTTTTTTGCACTTTATCGTTGGAGCACTGCATTGTGTCGCATTGTGCGAAATTTCTGCCTAACAAAAAGTTATCATTCAAATGCAGCTTTCGCTCAAGCAGGACTTGCAAGAGAGGCATTTAAGTTTCTGGAGGAGTTGGCTAGTTGTGCTGTTTTTGAGTCAAGATTCGACGATGCCAGCTCGTACTACTGGAAGCTGTCAAGGCAGTGCGCTGAAGTGGCTAAAAATACAGACGGTGTGTTACTCAACCATCTATGCAATTACATCCATTCAGTGTGATTCTAAGCCATCAACATTCTTGAATATTCCCCCTTAGATATTCGAGCCAAGCGGGACTGTTTAAAAAGATTCGAGGAATTTTCTAAGCTTGCGGACTTATACTACGTCTACAACAACATTCACCAGTACATGGTAAAATGGCATTGTTAACTTGCTGCATTAATGGATAACTTGGGACAAGAAATTGCGTCTGCTTTCTTATCTTAAATCAAAATCTCACTAAAGCTTTTATTTTGCGACATAACGTCGGGGTAGTTAAATAAGCATAGTAACTATGCAATGGAATAAGAAAGGTATGTGGGATGAGAGAATGTTCTACTCAACTACCTACCATTTTTCAGTGTTATTCCAATTTAGGCTACCTTTACTGCCCAAAACTTACATTGCCACAGGGATATTTGGCTCCAACATCCTTCCTTCATTCTAGAATGATCCATTCGTGGTTCACAGGCCTGAAACCTATCTCAATATGGCTCGGTACCTGCTGAATCGTGTAGGAAAAGAGGACTTTGAAGGAATATCCAAAGCGTATCCTTTTAAAGTATGAATCATCGGATTTAAAGGAAACTGATATTGCACCCCTTTTAATAAGCAGGAAAGTTAATCTAATTCAAAAAAATCCTATCGGTCTACCAGAAATAGACAGCATTATCTAAGACCAGTTTGTTATTTCTCTTATCATAAATGCTATTGTAGGCATATTTTGTGCACTCTGGCGAAAAATAGCTGGATTCTTCAAGGTTTTAAATTGGCCAGATGTGCTTTTGATCGCCTACAGACGCTGCACATAAAGGAGCCACTTCGGCAGTTAGTGGAGATGCAAAGTTTAGCCATTAGGGCCACACCTCTGCAAGACTCCGAAGTATGTTCCCCTTGCAATTTGTGCTAGTGCGTCATCTTCCTGGCTGTGCTTAATCTTTCATTAAAATATGTTAACCTTCTTTATCAATTATTTCTGTTCCTTCCTCATAAAACCTATTCAATATGAGCTCCTAGCACATTACCTCAAGTGGGCTATTAACGCTTCGCACCACACTCTTTGATGTGACCTCCTTCAGACTGTCAATATTGCGTGTTATCGGTGCTCAAATGCTACCTCAACGCTTCAAAATGACAATTGTTGCATCAGCTGCAAAGCGCCCTTCACTTACTCATTTTTGTCGTTTGGTAAGTTGGAAGGCTCCCACAGTCACACTAGCTGAAACATTCATACAATTTTTAATAATGCCTATGCCAACTAGATGTTCTACCTCTCGTGGAATTTGTACCGGATGCTGAATTAACAGAGGAGGAGGTGACGGAGTGCATTCAAAGCGATCCGGCGGCTCATCTTGCTGGTCAGCTATCAGGCCCGTCATATGACGATAAGGCTTCGAGCTGTGGACGAGACGCGTTCGCTGTAAAGCTCGCCAACTTCAACGTATGTGCAATAGTGATGGCATGACAGTAAAAGTGGTCAGATAAACCAAAACAATGAGAATGAACTTTAAAGACAATCCTATTCCGTTATTTAGTTAGGTTCTGATCAATACCAACCCGTCGTATTGGACGCAGAAACGCTTAGAATGATACCGCCTTCGGAGATCATTATCCTTGAGCCTGGTTATCCATTGAGAAAACAATTTTTTAAGAATGTTCTGCCGAAAATTGGGGTTACTTTCTGCAAGTCATGCAAGAAGGTGAATCACAAAACTAGCACATTTTGAGTCTATGTCTTTACGGATACTTCGGTTATACCAAGTAAAACGGCAGAGGTCTAAACGGTATTAAATATGCCTATGCACGCATATCTAAGCAGCTTAATTATTTCACATCAAGGCTTCTATCAGATTCGTATTTTTTTAACGTTAAATTGTTTACATTCCTACTAATACTGAACTATTTTTCACGAATCCGCATGACTTATCACCAAATCCAACACAACCTTCGAATACGTGACACCTTTATCTAAGTGAAGTTCCTTTACTAAAGTCCTCCAACGTAACAGGTGAGCTTATCTATTACAGCTTTTCCAGAAGCAGGAATATCAAATTCTTCTCCTTCAAAAGCAGCAGTGCCCTTTCTGCAGAAGTGGTGCCGATGATTGAAGACGTTGACATCCCTAATTTTATTTGCTAACTTTGCTTATGCTTGGGGAATGAGCTTTCAAAGCACAACTTTTGTGGAACAAGATGGGACCATCGTAAAGGATTTTGTTATTGGGATTCAGTGCACTCTGGGATCAGTGTAGGAAAAGATGTTGATAAATTTATGGATATTATTGCCCACATTTGAGTGGTGATAGCGATTTTGGCTTCTAGATAACTCTCATTAGGTAAGAGGAAGCATACGATTTGGCTAAACGCTTGTTATCTGGCAGAAATTGTTGAGGCAAGGCTAATGCCATGGTTCGAAGACCAATTCTTCTGGCAAGGTCAAGGTGGTCGTGCAGGGGAGCACCACTTATTAAGGCGGTCAAGTATGCAAAGTGTTCCGGCAAGGCGTCTGTTACATCTCCGCTGTCCGGGGTGGGAGTGCTTCACCCTGTTCAGTTACGTGCTTTGACTCTGGCGGCCTTCTCGTCTTATCACTATCCTGAGTCAAAATTGCTAACAGTTGCCCATTTACTAAAATATTATTTGCACACTCCTGGCATTTAAAAGATGGTGACAAGGGTTGAGCGATTCTACTTAGCAAGTGCAGCCGTTAATGCGAGATCGGTGGTATTCATTGTTTATGTGTTCGGGTGATTTTGACCCACTGTTTAAGCCGTGGCAAGAGATACGGCTATAATTTGTTTTAGTATTGCAACTAAGAATGAAATTCTTGAGTGAATTTCATGCTTTGTTATTATTGGTGCTAATTGGCGTTGGTAGAGAAATTAGTCGTAGTTGCATATTTGAACTTTGTATTAATGGTGCGATTTTAAAATATTATGAAATTTGGGGTCAATAGAATACGCCCGGAACACTCAATCATGGCCTTGAAAGCTACTAGTATATCTAAGGTCGAATATTAGGTGCTGCTCCTGGTCATTTTATGTAGCAGATTTTGCTGTTTTTAATGATGACGTTCGTAGATTGTATTCAATATATGCACGTACATGAAAATTCCTGTGGATAGAGGTTCTTTTTCTACTTTGGTTTTCCTATCTTGTTTGAGGTTGTTTCACTTCGTTGTCTTATGCTCTTGTGACGCTCCTAGCGTTCAAGTCGATTTATACCTGCGCTATCCTATGATTAGTGTTTTCTTTTCTTTGTTCCCAATTCTTGGTGAATCAGGTGCTGCGACGGACCAGTCACTATTATTCCGATGAAATGTTGGTTTTCGACGCTGTTTTTCTGATTGCGATCTCAACCTTGGTCTTTTGTTGGCTGCTGTTGCGCTTGAACACTACTTCTCGTCGCCGTTCCATCTTCAAATTTAGCATCTTCTTCGGAACGGAAAGGGGAACCGCGAAGCGATACGCTTATCACCTTGAAAATGTTCTTTCTCGGGCGCCGGAAGTCGATGTATCTGTAGCTGATTTGGCCAATTTCCATAGGGTTTGTTTAAAAAATGCTTTTTACGTTTGCAATGCCCGCAGGATTTGCTCTGCTATGGAGGATTGGACTTAAATATTTTTATCGTGGCTACCTATGGTGATGGTGAACCACCGGACAGTGCGCTTGGTTTTAGCACGTGGCTTCGTACACAGTGTGAACCCATTTCACATTTTAATTATTCGGTATGTTCTGAGTTGTAGTTACTTTCTGCTGATTCAATTAGTTTGTGCATTTGTATGAGACTTTATTTCTTGAGTTGCAGTTGCGTTTTTTGTAATCGGCTTTCGAACGATTGCTCCACTTATTCCTTCCATAACAGTTATCAGTTTTTAAGGTGTTCGGTTTGGGAGATTCTGGCTATCTCCAATTCAATGAATTTGCCAAACAAGTCGATCGTAACTTGTCTTTCCTGGGAGGTTTACGCAAAGTTCCACTTTACCTTGGGGACGCAGCGCGCAACTTAGAGGCTGATTTTCGTCTTTGGCAGCTGTCAATTTGTCAGTTATATAATCTGACTGAATGTCACCTTAATGTACCTTTGTTTACCAGTGAGGAATTGGCGTTCACCTATCTTTCTTCCACTGAAGTTGAAAAACTTGGAGGGCCATTTACTGGAGAGCCCGAGTACCGTCTTTCTTTTCGTTTTAATTCACCGTAAGTATTATAACAGTTTCAGCGTAAATCTTGTTATGAAGCGTTCTAGGCTGTCACCGTTCTAAGTCAGCTGCCGTCGACTGAAAATAAGAGTGTTATCTCACCTTCCAGGCCTTTTTCACCGGCAAATCCGTTCTTGGCTACCGTTATCGGCAACACAGAGCTTCTAAATTGTACTGATCTGTCTTGCCGTCTCATAGAATTAAATCTCAACAATTCAGCTATCAGGTAAGTCGATTTGCCATCGAAGCATTTTATTTATCTGTATCTTTATATTACATTGTCTCCACACTTAATAGATATGCTCCAGGTGATCATCTGGCTGTTCTCCCGCAAAATTCAGAAGACCTTGTCCAGAGACTGTGTACAATTTTGAAAGCTGATTTGGAGCAACATATTTATGTAAAAGGTGCTGTAGATCCACTATTTCAGTCGATTTTTTTTTACAATGGTTTATTGTCATTTGAAGCAGTGAATGGCAAGCTTTATGCGGGTACTACAGGGTTGTTCATGGATACTATGATTTCTTAAGCTGACCGATGAGTGAGCTTTTCTTGCTTGGAATAGGTTCAACTAGAAAATGCCTCAGCCACTTTCCTACACCATGCACATTTCGAACAGCATTCACTCACTACTTGGATCTAACCACTCCTCCTTCATTCGATATCCTTGGGTGTTTGGTTCAATGTACGAAGTCCAAATGCGATCGAGCATTTATTCAAAATCTCATCACCTCACAAGCGAGTGGTGTGAGCCTGTTTTTGCTTTTCTATTGAAATTTAAAACTGTGGAAATAAACCGCTTAATTCATTGTCGCTAATTGAAGTCATTATTTTTAGTTAGTTGTCCCTGCCTTCCAGTGATATTTCTAAGAATATTGAGTATTATATTATGAAAATCAGACTCATGGAATTTATTTTGCGCTTGTAGACCGGGGAAGGAACCTACGAGAAGTGGATTTTAGGGGCAAGACGGAGTGTTGTTGAGGTGTTAGAGGATCTGCCCTCATGCAGACCATCGACTGATCTCCTCTGTCGAATGTTGCCACGTCTTCAACCTCGCTTTTATAGCGTAGCCTCTTCTTTTCGATATCAGCCTGACAGAGTACGCCTTATCGTCAAGGTCTTAGAATACACATCTACCACTGGTACTTTCTATACATCGTGTTTAAATGTGGCAGACAATAAGCGGATTTATCTCTCTAGATCACTTTTTGTACAGCACCAGTTTTTATATTGGAACAAACGCTATTTTCGGTTGCATGACCATATGAAACGGGCATTTCGTCTTGACCTTGCAGGTCGATTGCACAAGGGTGTTGCTAGCACCTTTCTGTCCAACATGCACTTGGGCGATCGTGTGGCAGTCTTTCTGCGAAGGTCGGAATTCCGATTGCCTCGGAACCCGTTGACTCCAATCGTGATGATCGCTGCCGGCACAGGCATCGCTCCCTTTCTTGGCTTTCTGCAAGAAAGGAGCTTTATCAAGTCGAAAGGTTAGTTCCGTTTATCACATCCCCATATTGTTAGCCTTGATGGAATATGGACTAATGATGGAAGAAAATTGTACTTTTTGAAGGTGGAAAGTTGGGCGAAGCGATGTTGTTTTATGGCTGCCGCAGCCGCAACCAGGATTGCATTCTTCCTGACGAGTTAGTTGATGCGCTTAATAGTGGCGTGCTTTCTCGCCTTCAGTTTGCCTATTCACGAGAGCAGGAGCAAAAAGTTTACGTACAGCATCTTCTGCGTGATTGTGCTGAAACCGTTTGGTCCCTTTTGAAAGCCAAAAACGGTCATATTTATGTTTGTGGGTATGTACTCGCATTATATCAGTAGCCCGTTCATTGCCGTTAGAGTTTGTTATTTGGTTGTCATTGCATTGTCCCTCTCTTTTGTAAATTCTATATGCTTGTTTTGTGCGTCTGAATTCCTAACATTGTTTGCAGGGATTCTAAGGGCATGGCTCAAGACGTAAAGGGCGCTTTGGTGGAAATATTCCAACAGCAGGGTTCTCTAACATCGGCTGAAGCTGATGAATTTTTCCAAATATTGAAATTGGCCAGACGTTGCATATTCGATACATGGATTTGAAAATTTCACTGTCAAAGTGTCTACCTATGTTATATGTGGTAATGCCAGTGTTTTTATTGAATGAGAGATGACAATTCCATCCTATTATTCGAGAATGTCTGAGTGAATAAAGAGCCTTGTTTTACTTGGTTGATCCTTATTTGGCTTGAGCTTATGCTATAGTTAGCTGGTTAAAACCTTTTGGGCACAGAGGTATGCATGATTTTCTAAGGTTGTAGACGTTGTGATACCATAGTTACGCAGTGGGATTCCAGTCGGAATTTTTAATACGTTGTGGTTTGGCACAGTAATCAAGAACTGTGAAGGATCATTGCTCTGATTCGGCTCAGTCTTGCTAAGGAGAGTTCTGTAGCAGGAAATCAGAACTCCCTGGCTCAATTCACTTTGTTGCCAGCGTTTATGTGCTTTGGTCTACTTCGTAGCACTTTTTTCGGTTTGACATTGGTGCATTTTTTTGGACTAAAATGTCTACATCAGGGCAGGAATGTTACTTGATAGCGAATGTGTTTGATAGGTCGGCTGGCTGTCATAGCGTTGAGTTCCAACTTAGCACTGTCACCTGAAAAACGGTACGTACTCAACAAAGGTAATGCCAAAAATGTTTAACTAGAAGTGGGGGTGAGGTGAGTAATTGGATTTTAACTTTCGTCCTTCTCAATTGTAAAATGGTACTGGAAGCAAGTAATTGTATTAATAACGGGTTAGTAATGGTGTATGGGGGCCATCAGTTTATAAATCGCAAATTTGCTGTTTACACTAGCCGCAAATGTAATCTTTGCTCTTTGGGGTCAATCGCATCCAAAATTGCACTGATTTTCTCGAATTGGATCTTTTGCCCTGTCCTTAGTAACAGAGCTTAGCGGGAGGACATCATAATTCTGACAAAGTGGTACCACACTTATAACCGCTAGTAAATTGAAGTCTACTTTTCTCATTTTATTGTCCTTCAAGCGCAAATTAGCACGCTCCACGATTAGCATTGTGTGTGCCGTTAAGTGCCCGAACGACCTCATCAGGGGAACTTTAACTCCTGTAATTTGGTAGCATTAAGGTGTAGTGTTCTATCAATCGTGATTTGCGACCATTCGTAATGGCTGCTTTTCAACCCGTTAGTTAAAATCGGTATCACTTCTAATATTGTCACATAATTAAGCATCCGCCATTTCATTTTTCAGGTTGCTAAGTCATACAAGGGCTACTTTACATCCATCTATAGCGACAGCACATTATTTTGCTCCATAAGTAAGACCGCAATGCGTCACAGCTATTAGTTCGTAACTTGTCTTTACGTAATCTGTAATCTTATCCGCATTTGACAATCTTATCAATGATTTCCTTCTAGCTCATAGTATTTCGGAGAAGTTCGTTGGAAGGAAGACCAGAATGGGGTAAAGACGCACGGAATGATTGTATGCATGGAAGTCACCCAGCCCACAAGATCGCCACTGTTTTATGTGTTGGCGGAGCAGAGCAGGGTCGATAGAGAATTCACTCATTTTGCTGAATGTGGTTGTTTTGTCAACAAGATCTGATGTAGCACATTTTTTACTTCTGATGTATATTAAATGGTTGCTTCAATCAATGCGAAATGTAGCCATTATTTGTCTTCACATGTGCACGCACAAGATGTTGCAGACCTAGTCTTCTGCAAACTCTGACCATATTACCTCCTCTACATCAACTACTTACATTCTCATTTCAAGTTTTTCTTGAAAGCGTTTAACGGAGCTTATAATGAAAGACCTGCGCGGCGCTCCATCGACGTGGATCCCACCAAGGTTTAATTTCTGGCTCACTAACACCTCACCTTGCGCTTTTGACGCCATACTTTCAGTCTGATTAGATGTCGTTTACAACTTGACATTTATTTACAATGAAAACAAATGCGATGTATATTTGCAAGGACCATGCAGCAATATGAATATTTTTAAGATCTTTATTATTTGAGTCATTAGTCGTTATTAGGTTAAATCTTTGAGACACTTTCTATCTGTTCTTAATGCCAGATACTAATTGCATTTCATGGAATAATGTTGCAGGGAGGTTGCCCATTCGTAGGCGTCGGGTCGGTCGTCAATTGTGCCACTGACCCTATTCGACTTCAACTTTGAAAGTGCATCAGCATAACTTGAACCACTTCTCACATTAAGTAGGTGTTTAATCTCAACCATTTTCAGGAGCTCAAAATATATACATCGAAGAAAAAAATTTTACAATGAAACTTAATGGAAGTATGACTGCTCAAGCTTCGGAGACCTTTATTTGAATTTACTTAAAACATTTGGCCGGTATGATATATGTGGGGGCGGTGGAAGTGTTGGTTAGACTGAGAGCAACGGCGCGATCGGAATTGCAGCCAACCAGAGACATAAAAGTTGGTGCTAATTCTGCCGCAAGAAGTGCAGTTTCGCAACTTTCAGTAAGGCCAATGTCCGAGTACGCGGGTTTTGTACAAACGCTCTGCAAAATAAAAAAGTGCAATCAAGACATGACCATATGGTTGAAATGCGCCGCTTTAAGTCACAAAATTGATGCAAGGTTACCTTGTCACAATCAGCCTGCTCTTAATAAAAGTACCAACGGGTTCTTACTATCGTCGATTGAATTGCTGAGTCTAATGACCATGCATATGCAGAAATTCAAGTGAGTTCAAAGTTGTAATGTTATTCATAGCTTCATTTTAGGTAGCCTTCCTTATAGTTATTGAGGAATAAACTTAGCTTCATACCTGGATGAGCAGAACAAAGAAGATTTGATCCTCGGGTATCTGAATACCCGGAATTCGGGGACAAGAAGAATTCGCCTTTGATCGAATATAAGCTCTTGTGAGCATCTCCATAGCCAAAGACATCTTCATTATTCGTAAACGACGCATATACTCTGTCGCACTCATACGGCTGTCCCTCTGTTTGCAATAGAGGAAGAAGTACAGTCGATTAAATTCAGCCTGCATAATAGCACAACCTTTTAACCGAACCACAACGGCGATTCCACTTTCATTTTGAACAGGAGCGAAGAGAACGTTTTTATAGTCAGTGGGGTGCATTTAAAAGTGATGCCTAGGATGGGTGAGTTATTCTGCAGTGGCCTTAGCCCTAGTTTTTGCTTGTGCCCAAGCAGAATGGAAGAGGCAAAGTTGAAATGCAGTCCATGACAGTTTCCTTTATCCCAAATGGTAAATGAGTGTAGATCTACGGGTCCTTGTTTACGAAACCCCTTGCTAGCGTCAAAAATGGATTAAGTGTGGCAATAGATGCTCGTTATACAGCTTTAATCTCAATTTCTTTTAGAAAAGTTGCGAGGAGATGTAAGCGATTCTGAATAATGCAGTATGTTTAATAAAAATGGAAGTATTTTAGCGATTACCTTATGGACTATTGAAACACTCGAAACTTCAAGTTACTTTTATTTGGAGTATGGCCGCCACTGCTTCTCGTTCTTTAATGCAAATTAGGTAAAATGATCGTATTAAGCACAAAAGATTAAATCAGAGAGTAATCAGAATTTAGTACTTACCTGCTCCATTTCAAACGCAGACGAAACGCATTTGTAGAGTGGCTTCATTGGGTCCGGAAATTCCTCTGTTTCATAGTCACCTGAATAAAATAATGAGTAGATTTGCGTTTGTACAGATGATATCTGAATGGAGAAATATCACAAAGGCTTCCCAAATGCACGTTTGCATCTACTCTAAGGGACAAGCTTCGCTCTCTCAATATTAAGCCTGCTGTACTGCTCAGGAATGAAGGCAAGCGATGGGAATGGCAAGCAAAATCGTTGGTTGTAAGTAGAGTGCAAGCGAAGCACACGTTTCCTTTATGCGGTTCTGTGGGTGATAACTGCCTTGCAATGCCTGCTCACAACTACCCTTGATAAGACGGAAAGCTTACAATCCTAAGGGTTGGTCAGCGGGAATTTGAGCTGCCTTATGGACAAAAATGGAACCAAAATTAAAACTCTCGATTCATTTTTTCTCACCGTTTCTGAAAACTGCGTCAGCAATCGCTAAGGATATCCAGTAGCCCAAAACCGCAAAAGACGTGCAGCTAAAATTCACATGCAATTTTATTTTTAGGCACTTCCGTGTCAGAGACAATGCTCTTAGGTTAATCAAAGTATGCAAACGCGCTTTGAGGACTTCACTTCTCACCGAGGGTTTCCATCAATAAAATTTATTCTTTTGTCGTATAGAAGTAATATCGACGGATCTGAAATAGGATGCATAAAGTCAGTACAGTCCTTGCGACTTGGTCCAGACTGAAGGCTATTACCTACCTAATTCATTCGTATTCCACGTGTGGCGCAACATTTCCGACCCGAAAGTGCACAGTCTGCAAGTGTATATGATGGTTGTACGAAACGATTAGATTGGTATTGTAAGATGGTGTAAGGATAAATGTTGCCCACGTTGATAAAAAGTATGGGAATCCGAAAAATTGTAATCACGAAATTCATTAACAACGAGACGGAAACAGCATGAATCTCTTTAGCTTCTAAGGCAAATTACAAGGAGGAACCAATTTCATTATGTCATCTGCATCTTGTTCCATAAATAGGATAGGACGAATGGAGGGAAAGGTGTGCGCCTTCAAATGCATGTGGCATCGCACCTAACAATTGCTCAATAACCTTCCGTGGCAAGTGGGTCGTTTGGCTTTCTTCCTTACATAAATGGGTTCTCTGACTTGCACATTCTTAAGACTTCCTCCAGAGATGAAAGTCTTAGAATTTCTTTTGATAAAACGATTTTTTAATTCAAAGATTCAGTTGATAACAAAAGTAGACATCCATTTCAGCTATTTGGCCTTAGCTGGCATACCCAACATCGTCAGAGAAGCTGCACATCTCGTGAATGCTTTTTTTCGTCCTGTTTTCCCATGGTCCCATCCACCTTGTAAGTTTATTCAATGGTTTACCTTTGGGAACCTACAACAATACCTCAACGGCATTACCGTTACGCCTGTGTTGTTTCATGTTATGCAATGCTGTAGAAGACTGACGTGGAATGACGTGCTCTGTTTAGGATTCCAAATCCGATTGATTGTCATTCCGGAAACCTGAAAATTTCAACGCAGTTGCTGATTAAAGGCCCAAAACATGCCACACATTGGATAAAATAGGTTGGCAATAGTTGCATTTTATCGCAGGATGGCAAAAATGTTGAAGATAGCGAATTTTCAGGCCACTCTCCAACTCCTGGTTTTTAATAGCTATGGTACGCATTTTTTAAAAAATAGGCAATGTCATTAACTTTTGGCATGTTGTGCACCAACTTGGATGCCTTCGACCGCACGGATAATTTTCAATGGAACAAAAAGTGCGTTTGAGTAGATTTAGAAGTTTTCTCTCAAACGTTGACGGATTGGGTAGTACTTACCAGCTTTCTAATCAGCTGTGCTCCTTGGAAATACTTCTCGTAAGTGGTTTTGATTGGCGGCAGCACTATTTTATTTGCCTGTAATGCGGAAAATGCGAGTTGTTCTCTTTCAGTAACAGCTACGATTGATAATTGGCTTTTCTTTCTCTCCAACCATTTGTTTAGATAAGATCTTCTGCAGTACTAGTGTCATTCAGACCTAAACTAACTCAAGGGTGAGATGTATGTTTTTTTCATGCAAGAAAGCGCAATGAGTTTTAAATGCGTTGACAAGGGTCGTTGATTTACATCTCGATTCTTTCACCACTATGGCCTTGGAGATTACTGCTTCAAAAAATGGTAAAAGGGGCAGTAAAAGCCAAAAGACGTAATCGAAGGTACTTTAAAACAGCAATACATGTTAAGTAGAGTTTATTTGTCAACAGTAGCTTACATAATGGTGAAAGCTTTCCACTTCATTCGCCCTATCGTCATAAAGTTCTCCTAAGAGCTGTGGCGATGCTGTTCCAATAATGCAATCGACATGGTTTATTTGACCTAAAATAGAATTGTGTAGCATTTTTTTGTCTTTCGCCTTAGCCCATGGCTATCAGCAGTGCTGGACCCAACCCCCTCCATTTAATTTAAGGAGTAAAGGAACCGTCGCCAAGAGTCAGTCCTCAGGTCTACGGTCCAAAACCCCTTCAAAGCTTAGAAACATTAGGCCGCAACTTCAACAGTCAATTACAGCGCAATATTTGACTTTGTTGAATACATTCTGGACACTGGATATGAAAAAATTCCACCTTTATTTCACATTTTATTAGCGAAGTAAGGCAAGTTATAGTAAGATGCGAGGCAACTGACCAACATTTCCAGATGCAAAGTTCATAAGCCGGTGTTTTGCGTTCGCCACCAAACCACTGGAGCGTGGTCCATATTTGTTCACAATGGAAAAGAAGATGTAATCCTGCAAGTCACTATTACAGACGATAACAATAATATTAGTATTGGTTAAAAAAATTATTTTCGTTGGGAGTTTTCTTGACTGTTGTTTGCGCTATCGCAAGTCGGTTCACAAAAAGGTGATATGGGAAAATTTCGTGGATTTCAGTCATTTATTTAGACACTCTGAAGGAGGATAAGTAAATAACTTTGTACACATCTGTCTAAAATATTTTGTAAGCTAAATTTAACGGCTTAAACTAATGTTCCATCTTAATTGAAAAATGCTGTAGTTTCAGAACAGGAACTAAATGTCTATCAACCATTTATTTATTTATTTTTCGATAAGAATTAAGGCTTAAAAAATAGGCCCAATTTCATAATTCTTACCTGGACCTCGTCTGTCGCAAAATACCTGCGATCCATTTAATTGCATCAGAGCCGCAAACTGTCACAATATTCCCACCTGAGTAGTGACGAAGGTATGCCAAAAAGTCGATCTACTTTGTAGAAGAACAAATTCATGTGAAGCACAGATTGCATCACTTAAACATGAGTGCAGATTACCAACGTAAAAGTTGTACAGACCGTATTTTTTGTAATTGCATTGAGTTCTGCCACCGTCAAATTTGCGCATTTGGCTTCTGAAGGCCGCATTCTTCTGAGTTCTTCAAGCATTTTTACCTATAAATGAATAGCTGCATAATCATTTCTTCATTAACGGCCAAACTTTTACTCCGACCTTTTACTCCTACGAATTGTGGGATAATGGTATCCCTCGATGTGAGGATAACGGTGTAGTATTCACTTTCTAAGCAAGTTCACATCTCTTCTACCTTATTGCTCCCTACATTTTGGAGTTCTCAGCACATTTCAGTTGCTAGTTTTCGAGAAAATCATTTGCCCGAGAAAATGGCAAAGCATTAAGTCCACATTTGCAAAGGCGGAGCCTTTCTTACTTCTTGCAACTGCGATAAGATTTCGTATACGGCTCTAATGTGTTCATCGTCGTGGATGGCACAATTAATTGAGGAATTCATATGAAGCAGGATTCCGACGGATTGAGCATAACGAAGGCTGGTACAAATGTATGTGCGAAGCTCGTTTGCAACACGCAAATGAACATTTTTCAGATTAAAATTGTCCCAAGGTTGTTGTTCCTCCGATGGTGAAATCTAAGGTTCCCGTAATACATGTGCTTGAGTACCTTGACCATCTCTTCATCTGCCAACACTTCGAAGAGAAGCGAGATCTGAAACTCCACATGCAGTATTCGTAGAACGTCATCTAAAATGCAACAGCTAATTGTTAGATTGCGAGGCTCCTATTGCCTTCGCAGTTGGGCACGTGTATCCGTGGCTGCTTTTACCATATCCAGTTAACGATAACTTGAGAACTATGTTCCATTAATCTACTGAGAGCACGCAGCTATATTTTTAATCGCCTCAATCACTCTTCTTCCCATCATCTTTCACCTACTCGTGACGTGTATTATTAGGAAGGAGCGATGAAACTACGCTTTTGACAGCTGTAAGGCGATTTAGACGTTTTACTTGTATTAAACTCTATTCGCTTAAATATGCGAGCTGTCCGTTGCAGAAGTAGAACAATTCTTGATTTCAGCCCACCGCAGAAAGCAGTAATGAAGCCGAATACCTTGGAAGCTGGCAAACCCCAAGGTCTTGTGATCGCAAGAGTAAAATGCGAATTCATTTATTATTGTTACGTCTCAGTTTTTCTTGAGCCTCTTTACGTCTGTGGTGCAGATTTGTTGCTCTTTTGTTGTGACGAAGGTGTCGTCTAAATAAAATTTAAGCTTTGTTTTGGAGCCTTCAGCTTCAAATTGCATTCTTATATGAGCAGTAAGTGTACAATTTCTGGACAGATTTATTTTAAATGCATTAAATGTCTAGGGCTGGGAGCTTTATGATTTGGTTATTTCCGCTGCAGCAGGACGGCAGTGCTTGTGTTAGTCCGTTAAAATGTATGCCAAACAGATTCAAATCATGAACAAAAAGGTCGAAAAGTATGAGGTACTTTTGGTTAATTCTGGTTAACCTCAGACTAGTAAGTTTATACTGCTATTAATAAGATATTAGATAATGTCTACGTAAATTGGTAATCACATCACTAGTACAGCTTACAAACTTATTTTGCTGATGATGCAAGCACCGCTTACCGATGGTGTTAAAGGTGAGAGTGGATTCATGCAACATTCGCGCGATAGGTACTGAACCATCCCTTAAATCCTGCTGCTCTGCAGGGATTATTGCTTGGTTCAACTTAAGTGTTCCATTTTCTGGAAAGCCACTTCCTGAAAATCTATTTCGTTCCGCACTTGAGATGCAAATTTGAAGCTGGGAGTGAGCTCTGGAAGGATTTAGCAGCATTTCTTCGACCGCCACTTTTAAAGGGCTTTGGAAGTATATGTCTAGACTTTTTCCTTCATTCCAAATCATTTTAACAAAGCTTAGAAGTAAAGAATGGTTGCACACCTTCAAAACGCCTTGCTCATTTATATTCGAAAGTGCTGTCTGAAAAAATAGGCCAATACGGAGACATCCCGTACTTTCGCAGATACCCGTCATTTGCCCAGCCAATCTTTTACTCTCAGATGCAATAACAGGGAGAAGAATTAGGGTGCAGATAAATAAAGTAGTTATAAGTGAAGCAAGTAGAAAACGTTTTCTCTTGGATAAGGCAAGATTTTCGCAAGTGAACCGGAAATCCTTTAAAAAATTACAGCTTTTTTTGGATGGATTTAAGGCCGCAAACTTGCTTCGAAGGCTATCACTTGCAACATTTTCTGAAGCATCTCTGATCTTTCCATCGCAATTTTGTGCAACAACCGCTGATATTTGACAACTATGTCGTTTTGTAAATTCCATCGGCTCATGTTCGTCATTTTTCGAAGCTGAGGAGTCAGAAGTCGAATGATCAGGAACTTTCATGTGAGTGCAAACTTGCAACAGGGATGGACCAGAGTAATTCATCGGGAAGGCGACAGAAGGAGGCACGACAGCTTGAAACGAGACATGTCGAGAAACTCGATGCGCTTTCATCGCGCAAAATGGACCTTCATTTGCCATTTCCTTCTCTTGCCCGGTCACTATTAAAACGCCTCTTAAAGGGGACTCTGCTTAAGTCTACTCGCTGATTGGTCAAACTGAATCGGCTTGATTTGCTCGCTCTTAGTCCCACTAGATGAATGTGCATATTAATTGTTGCATTTCGAATTTTAGCACGTGGTAAAATTGCCACAAGTTTACCGAATAGTATCGTTCACCTCCCATCATTAACTTTCAGTGGAACAAGATTCTCGAATATAAGAATGTGGGCAAGAAAATCTCACACAACTTTCGAAACGCCTCACTACTTAACCAAATATATTTTAAATAAATTTTACACGCGAAAATGCCCAATCATAGCACGCATCCTGAGGACATTTACACAAACATCGTCGTTTCCCTTTGGCCTTTGAGAGGCTGCGCACACGAGATTGCAGTATACAGCTGCTTACTCGAAAAGTTAAGGTGCCAATATTTTCAATAAATGCTCATGTAGCTGTAGGTGATGTCAAAAACACTGTAGCCGACATATGCAAAGTTGTTGCACGAAGAGATCAGAACACAAAACACCTCCCAAAATCCAAAGCTGCAGTCTTACACTGCGCTAAAATGTAGAATCCGGGAGGGGTGGATCAATGGCATTCCGCGCCTTCCAACGCTGTGCCTTTGTCATCACAACCCATTAATACGCAGGGTCGTATGGCGCCATTTTATTGGATTATCATTTAACACAACTGAAATTGGTAGATCATCCACATATTAATGATGCACAAGTGTTCATTTCAAAGGACATTCTTTGGGCTTTTTTGATGAATATCCATTCAAGTGCACCCTTTGTTGCTTCAACGAGGACAAACACTTACCTGTTTATTAGTAACTCAAGGTTTTTAATTCAATTCATCATTGCGTTCCTTTGCTAAATCCTCTCTCAATGGCTTGTGGTAATTTACTGAATTGGGCAGCAGAGCATCTTGAACTGCATAACTTAAGCACCTCAACAAGTACTTTACAAGTTCGACTCTGTTTGGGTCCGAATTGGCGTACAAATCTGGGCAAGCACTAGTGCCTTTAATTACAATTCGGTTTTGCGCTTCTAACTCCACAAAGTCCACTCAAAGTGAACTAATTTGCATTTGTTAATTCCAATACAGCTTTTTTCGAGAATACATTCATCACTAAATTATTGCGACTTCCTGCGGATTCCTTCCTAGTAGACTAACGGCAATAAAACTGCAGCTTGTTCAGTGAACGTTTCATTTAAATGAACTGCTTTATGCTTGAAAATCAAGTTACAGCTAGTTAAAGTCAAAATAGGATTCAAAACCAGCATAGTTCATGAGATATTCTGTGTCAGAACTCGTCCTGGACATAAAAATGTCATTTTCATTGTCAATCGTGTGCAACAAAAGAAAACAGCGCCCTTTGTGATCCCTTTTGGTCGACTCAGCACCACTGATGCAAGGCGAATAAGCGGGCCATTGGGAGTACTGAGTGTACCCTCTATAATTTCGATGTTCGTACTTTTGACACTTCCTGTTACAACAATTTGCCTTTTGTCCAAACTCTTCCGATCACACATTTAGACAAATCATTCCGAATGGTAAAGATGCCACTAAGTTTTTATGGCTACTTACTAAAGTGTCTTTTGAGTGCCTTTACTCTGAATGGTTGGTGCTTTGTGTCTGTCGAAAGTTGTTAGCAGATGGTTTGTACCAAAGTAAAAGGTTACGCACTTTGCCAATATATTGTTTGTGGCGTTTTCCTCTGTTTTGTAATTGGGTAACCCATTTGTGATTCGGTGCATTTCTCACCTTCGATTATAAATACCAATTTATTAATTTTGAGAATGTGTGCTTCAAAGCTAGTAATGGTGAAAACACGGATTTGAACGCAATGCTCCGATTTTCACTAATCAAATCCCTGGATAGAGTGACTTATTGCCATAACCACTCAGAGGTCAACTTACCAGGTCGCCAAATAAAGTTAAAATTTCAGCCCCACATACATTTCTTACGCTTCTCGCCTTTGAGATTTCACCCAAAAATGAGCGCTTCTCATAAATATAACTGAAAATGGTAAACCATTTATATCACTTTTAAATTTGATGTGGTGCGAAGTTAAAATCCTAATCATTTCAAAGTCGCTTCACTAATATCATTAAATGATAAATGAGGACGTCGACCTGGAGGATCAACCGTAATATTGTTCATTTTTGAGTAATCGGAAACGTATGACGGTGTAGGCTCTCCGTGCGCGTAAAGCCCACTGTGGTTGGTCCAGTGCTTAGCACGCACCGATTAAGTCATGGTAGGAAGAAAAAGGAAGCAGCCCGGGATCGATGCCTCATCACGTGGTCTTCAAGTTTGGCTTCCTGATAGGGCAGACAACCAGCACACACTCGCACATCCACTGTGCGTACGTGCGTATTCCTTCCCGGGACAGGCGTGTGTGTTCCATACGTTTGCGAAAGGACGGCGGTAGCAAGGACGACTGCATCGAAGAATGCCAAGGCATTTCTAGATCCTTGCTTCCTTTTCGAAGGGAATTAATCACCTGGTCTTTGCTTACGAGAACTCTTCTTTCAGCAGCCCTTTCTGATCGTCAGCAATGCAGACCATTGAACGAGTTATCCGTATGCAACAGGGACCACCTTGGGGATTCCGACTAGCAGATACATTTAATGGCAATCTTGTTGTTTCTCAAGTAAGCGCCGGAACCTCTTTTAAGTGACTTTTTGTAAAGAATATGAATTAGTACAATGTAATTGCAATAATAATTTTATTAAATATCATTTTTTTTGTGCCTTTTAATAGTATCGTCTTTTTCACTTTAATCCGCCTAATCATTGTTGGAAATCAGTTAATGCAAAGGCAAGCAAACTTTGTCTACGCCCTTGTGATTTAATCTTTAGGTGATTTCGTCAATCATGAGATATGTTTCGAAAATATTGCAACTCTCAAGATTGTTTCCTTCAGTTCCAAAGTTTTTGTGATAAAACGAAGATTCTTTTAGATTCGAAGACAGAGTCCAGCAGAATTGGCCGGTCTTCGAGAAAATGACGTCGTTCTTGCCATCAACAACTATTCCACAAGGGGATTGAATCGGTCATATGCGATTGACATTATTAATGCCGCTGTCTACGAATTAAATCTTGTTGTTCAAAGGTATTAAACCTGCCTCATTAGAAAATCTTTATCTATCCACATATCCTTATCGCAAATCGTACATTAAGCATTCATAATGGTGGACCAAAACAGTACTGCAAATATGTTGCCATGCGGATTAAGTTTTTATCCTATGCATCGGGAGGACTTCTAAACGCTTTAACTGCAAGAACCCTCCCAAGTGTGTAATATTGGACTACTTTTGTTTTAGCAACACTTAGTGCCCTTATCAAGAGTATGTGAGTCATAAACCATGGTTTTGCGAGAATTTTCTGAGAATTTGCCTAAAACCTTATCATCGCACCGAGTATCCAGCATTAATTATCTTTACCTCAACGTCAAACATTGTTGACCCCATGAAACAGAAATATGTACATGCGGCCTCTGTGCACCTCTAGGCAGGAGCGTCGGAAGCCGCAGATGATGACCTTTTTCCTGGATACCAGTGCTGCCCGAGGTCAGACAGTGCGCCAGGAGATGGCTTCACGTGATCTCGACATCTCCTGGCGAAAGGAGGTGCCTCCGGCACCGCCGGAGCCGCGGCGCATTAAGCCTGCCGATCCAACAGTCACTCCAGTCTCTCTCGATCGTCTCCTACGTGAGTTCGAGGCTCCAAAAGCGACACCGCCCACCAAGAGTAAGTCACAGATCCAAAATTGCTTATTGGACGTAATCACAACTTACAAGTTTCATGCACTATCTAGCTTTAAAAATGCACAAGCAGTGGGACTACGCAAAGTGAAGGGATTTTAGTAGAAAAGAAGTTTGAAACGTTGTTGAACAAGTAGTCGGTTTTGGTCGGACAAATGTTTAAAGCACAAATTGCAAGAATTCCCCTTTTTTCCCTTTGTTCCATCACTGAATGTACTTTGCCTAAATTTAGGCGTCATAGCTCTCAAAATGTTTGATGGTTTATGTGATAAGAAGGAGACACAAAACTGTACCGCCACTTTGACAACGCGGTCTTACTCTGTCTTCGTAGCTATCACCGAGGGGCATGATTCTTTGGTGATGCTATGTATGTGCAGTTCCACATGACCAAAAACGGTCCCTTCAACGAAACGGCAAACAGGCTGAGTGGGTGCGGGAGAAAGAGTAACTTTGAATCTCACCTACATGATACGGCATCCCGGAAACAGGACCAGTTATCGACTGTAAATTTTGCGCCCATCTTTTCCACATCAATCATGTTCCACTTTTGTTTAAAGACCGTCCCATACTTTTGTTTGCGGTATGTTTTGCACTTGACTTCAGTCTTGGTGAACTTAGGAAATATTTGGTGTTAAGAACATATTGTGCACACTTGCACACTTGAAGACATTTAATTTATTACTGCAAAAGGAAAATTAGATTTTGACTTGGCATCCCATGGGGAACTTTTGAAGGGCATGCTTATCACCTACCCACGTAAAATCTTTAATTAGGCTTGTCTTGTTTACCTAGCAGTGAATTTCACTGTTAACCTTACTTGCGAATGCCAAAATAATACTATGCAATGTCTATCATTTAAATGCTAGTTTTCGCATACTCCCGTGTTTATGAATCTGAATTTTATGTCGATTCTTTATTAGATTGTTACGTGTCAAGTGCGCCTTCATTTTTTAAGGTTATTGGTGTCTAAACAATGAATCAACGCTAGGCACCCGAAGGCTCTAGCCTAATCCTCCCTAAATGAAGTCCTATGCTTAATAATTCCTGCCATCACGATATTGTTGTACATTAATTTGTCTAAATTCGTCAACAGCAGAACAGTGGTTCATTCGAAAAAACTTATACTGGCTTAATCTGTGCCACACGTCGGTCAAACGACTTGTGGTGATAGCGCAAAAAGCATAACTTAAAGTCGCTGAATGCTACTGCACGCATGCATTTTAAGGTAAAAGGAGTTTCAGCCGAAATGACTTGCTTATTGAAATGCATTCATTTGTGCCTCCACGTCGTCTCCCGAATGTAAATATACGCAGTCTTAAAGTTTCGTCAGACTCACATCCTACTTGGTTTCAAATGCTATAAACATTTCTGTTGTACCTAAACGACGGTGCTTTGCACAGCGTAAATTTTATGTCCGAGCAGTGTCTTCCATCTCATAGTTGACTATGGAGGAGAGCCACACCGATTTTATGGCCATTTCAAGCTTGTCATTATTGATTCAAGTAAAGCATGGTGGGGCATCTAAAGGGTGGGGAGAAGTAACCCATCACTTTTCTAAATAAGAGCGTCCATAACTAAGGATCTGGATATAAGAACTAGCAATTTCAGCATCCCGACTAAACTTCAAGATTACCGCAACAAAATTATTAAAAACGAGACATTAAATAATTAATTGAGGTCGCACCCATTCCTTGCATTCTCTACCCCGTTTGAATGGCTCGTTCTGTTCATTCCTATTTCAGCATTCTACGGTGATCTTTGATTATTTTATTTGCTCTAAATAAACTAGGATTTGAGGCGGTGTTTTTGATCTATCCTGTTGAGAATGAAGAGCAGCTTACTCAGTGTTGTGCTTACAAAAGACTCCGTTCCTCAACAAGGATACGAAACTAATCCCACTGGAGAGACTAATGAATGCATCGCATCTTAAAAATATATTTCTAATGCCAGTAAGCCCTTGTTATCACAGTAGTGTGGAAGGTTTCAGTTTACTTCAAGTAGATTTAGGAGACAAATAATCCTTACCTTTGAAGTACTTTGTCGATTTTTGTTAAAACCCATTTGTTTCAAGTCAGTGCAGACTGTTCAAATTGCTTTAGTTAGGACAACTTTACACTGCTTAATTATTTCTTCATCCCAGATTCAAATTAACGACGGGTAATGCCAACAATAAGAAGTGCTTATAGTTTTAAAATGTCGCTTCTTAATGACAATTTCCGCTTACTTTACCGACTCCATTCTTTACACCACTTAAAAAGGAAAATTAAGTGGAATCGATCGATATTTTCTCATTTCAAACAAGGGAAATCCTGAGTCACAAAATTACTTCAAACGAGTTTAGTACTCTTTGGAGCCTAGGTTAACATGCAGAAGTGCTGCAAAGGCGAACATCGGAGAAGTCTTCCAAAGTGATAAAGCGTGTGTAGCATTCGCCTTGCGGAAGTTTGGCAAACACGTCCTTCTACAGAAGAATGATGCTTAAATAGTGTGCTGCTTTTTCATTGAGCTTTATGGCGCACTCAGGTTAGGGTGCATAAAAACCGGTTTTTGAAGTTAAACATTTTTCGTGACTGAGTTGCTTTGTTATTGTAGTCGCATGATCGAAAATCAGACTTTTGAAAATAATCCACCGCCTACATTTATAGAGCGCACCTTTGCGAATTCGGCTTTTTACACTGGGACAAATGTGTACTACCCGAGCGTGGAGGAGCAGATTGAAATGGCGCGACGAGTGGCGAAGAGCATTGAGGCTCCTGTGAATCAAGGCTCTCGCGGTGCCAGAATGTTTGAGGTGCAACAACAAAGAGCGGAAAAATACGTGAAAGAGGGTCCAGAGCCGATTCCTGATCCCCTGGATAACGTTAGTTTACAGTCAACTGCGCATGTGTCGTGGTGTTTTGTATCCAAACGCGTTTTGCATGAAAGGTGTTTAAGTTTGGTGCACGGCTAGATGCATCCCCTAGTTTCAAGTTTGGGAAGTTTCTTTTTATTAGACCAAAAAGTAAATGACTCGAATCAGTTCACTGGTTTTGCTTAAATAATTGCCATAAAAAGTATTCGGGCGCTGGTATGAAGCAGCATCCTTGATTGTGTTCAATACTCATGTTGCTGTCAGGTGTTTATTGGTCTCAGCTCTGCGCATAACTTGCAACACGCAAGCTTTTCGCTTCTATGAGTTCGAAACACGTTATGTAAATGTTTAATAAGCAGTAAAATATCAAGATAGAGTCGTGAATTTGACTCTAGGCATTGCGACTTCGCCAATAATTCTTTGGCACTATGTTCCTGCTTAATACTCAAAACTAATTTCTTTTGCGATTTGTTTTCATTAAAACTTTATGAGTCACATGATTTTATGTTCCATACGCAAACAAAGTGAACAGAACGCATCAAATCACCTTCAAACGCATGTCTCATTCCTACGCAATGACAGTTGCTGCTGTAAACCGTGCGTTACTAACGGCATGCCTCGGTATTACAGCTTTTATTTATAGCTTCCTTTTTTATTTCCCTTGTCTCCTGCCTGGTATTGGGTCTGCGTAGTCAAGTTCAGCTTCCTCTGCATCCATCAAACGCAACAGCTTGACCTCCTCTCCATCCTCCTTTTTACGCGTCAACAACGACGATGACCAAACCCACAACGACCAATATCAGGCCACGGCCCAGCAGCTGGAGTATATGATTCCGCCAGCTCCTCCGCCTCCACCTCCTCCAGCAGCACCGAGTTTCCCCACTCTGACATCTACCATACCCCCTGCGCCCCCACCTCCACCGCCACCGCCAGGGCAACCGCGTTCAATACAGGAGTTCATTGAAAAGATGCGCCGTTTCCCAAAAAACACTCACACTGAGATCTCGCCACAGGTTTGCTTTGATATTGCAACAGCACTGCATACTTCAGGCAGCCGAGGTGGGACCATGTTTGCGAAGCGCCGAGCAAAGGCACAGAATTGGGAGGTGGAGAGTACAGGCGTAGCTCCCCCAGTAGTGGAGCCGAAACAGGCTGATCGACCCAAGTTGATATCAAAGTTAGAGCAGCAGCACCAGCATCAAGTATATCGAGCACACCAGCAGCCCACGCCACCTCCGCCTTCGCAGCAGCAGAGCCGAAACTCTCTCACTGGTCTTGTACGGATGAACGAACTGTCCTCTAGACCTCAACCACCTAATTTAGGTAGGTCACTGCACAATATCCAACTCTCATAGGCGAAATTCCGTCTTATATATTCTACACAAGTCCAAATTGATAAAGCTGTTTAGCCCTGTTTCTCATCAAAGTGGCTTATATTTGGGTTGAAGGCTTTAAAAAAGGAAGGAATGTATTTATTTGTTCCAGTACGATACGGGTGCTCTGACTATCTCGCCCTTATACCGTTGGGAAGTGAAATTATAAAATATCAAATTAATGTGAAGGCACGAGTC